GCTCTTTGTTATACGCTAGTGGTTGAGAATGAACTTGTCAAGATGATCGCTTTGTAATGTAGAAACCTGAGTTACCCAGAGCTCTGTTGCTTGGTGTGGGTGGGGGAGTGGGGACGAGATCCGCCGGGGGAAGCGGGTTTTTTTGGGTGGAGTTGGAAGCAGTGGATGGTGAAGTCATTCTGCGTTTCCATGACTCCAGCTCATTGTTAGCTCTTTGTTATACGCTAGTGGTTGAGAATGAACTTGTCAAGATGATCGCTTTGTAATGTAGAAACCTGAGTTACCCAGAGCTCTGCCTTGCTTGTTGACATTGCTGCACCCCTATTCCAACAGCGGTTCCCAGAGCGATTTAAGCCCCACTGTCCTAAGGCATCCACTGATTGTTATGGGTTGACTGTGCATCCAGAATGGTACTATTTCTGTGCCGTCCTTGGGGGGATTGAGAAAGTGGTCACTCAAAGCAGCCTCATGTTCTGTGGTTCAGATAAGGGGCCCTAGAGGAGAAAGGCTGCAGGATTTGGGATGTACCTTTTCCTTTATCTCTTGTTCGAGAAATATAGGGGTTACCCCAAAATAGGGCTCAGTCCTTTCTCTGTCATGCTTTTCCTCAGTGATCCCCCTCTCTCCCCACCTTCACAAGTTGCTTCTATGAATATGACTTCCTTGTCTATATGTGCAGTTTGGGTCCCTCTCAGCTCGCTTTTTCATCTGCTTGATGGATACTTTGACATGGTTCTTTTGCACTAATCTCACAGCATGTCCATAAATAAAAGATCTCTGATCCTGTTAATGGTGCCAAGTCACTTTGACTTGAAGCTCCGATGTTACCCTGGACTCTTTCCTCTCACTTGCCTCCAACTTCTGTTTAATCTAGGACAGTGGTTCTCAACCTTCCCAATGCCGCGACCCTTTAATACAGTTTCTCCTGTTGTGGTGACCCCCAACCATAAAATTATTTTCGTTGCTACTTCATAACTGTAATTTTGCTACTGTTATGAATCGTAATGGAAATATCTGATATGCAGGATGTATTTTCATTGTTACAAATTGAACATAATTAAAGCATAGTGATTAATCACAAAACCAATATGTAATTATATATGTGTTTTCCGATGGTCTTAGGTGACCCCTGTGAAAGGGTCGTTTGACCCCCAAAGGGGTCGTGACCCACAGGTTGAGAACCACTGATCTAGGGGTTCTACTATACACTTTCCAATTCCTCTGTATTTTCACCCTTACAGGTTGTAATGCTAATCTCCCTCTACACCGGAAAGGCTCTGCTCCCAGTCTCTTCCACCCCATCTCTCCCACTGCTTTCACATCAGTGCTCCAAGATAAAGCTCCAATCGTGACATTTCCTTGCTTGGAAGCCTGAAGTGGCTCCTACTTACTAAAATAAAGAGCCAAACCCATTAGCCTGGCACTCAAGGGTCCTCCTAGGCTGGCCATGTGGTTCATATAGCTCACTACTATTATGTCCCTGCTCCAGCTACCTTCTCTATTCAGAGAAATTCTGTATTCCTACTTTTCCTCATGCTGCTTCTTTTCCCATATTGTATTCCTTTCAATCCTGTCTTTACTCATTTGGAAATAATAGCTCCCAGATAGTTGGAGTGTAAATTGTTACCATCTCTTAGGAGGCAATTTTGCAATGCCTATTAAAAAATGCTCAACCTTTTGTCCCAACAGTGTATTTCTAAGGATTTACCCTACAAAAACAGTGACAAGGATATGGAAAGACAAGGGAGAAAGCTTACTGCAACATTGTTTGGAATAGCAAAAAGTGAAAATAACCTAAGTACTCATTCAGAGGTGTCTTAGTTTACTCGGGCTGCCATAACAAAGTACCATAGGCTGGGTGGCTTGAATAACAGACATTCTTCACAGATATGGAGGTTGGGAAGTCCAAGATCTAGGCGCTGGCAGATTAGGTTCCTGATGAGGACATTCTGATCTTCACATGGTCGAGGGAGAGACTTCTGGTTCTCTTTTCTTTTAAGGACAAGAACCTCATCATGGGGGCCCCACCTTCATGACCTCATTTAAACTTCCGAAAGGTCCCATCACCAAATACCATTGCACGGAGGTTAGGGCTTCAACATGAATTTTTGGCCGGGACACACACATTCAGTCCAAAACAATATGGAGTTGGTTAAACTATGTTAGAATTCTATTAACATAAAAAGAATGTAGTAGATCTGTATATGTTAATTTAGAAGGATATGAACATATATATTTAAGAGAATAGTTGCAAAAAATACAACTAATATTTCATTTGTGATAAAAACAGGATTTTTGCATGGGTATGCAAAGACAGTTTCTTGAAGGCTGTGTGAGAACTCCAGAATGATTCTAAAGCCCTGAGAAAGAGTATTTTTACTTTTCATCTTTGTGTTTTAAATTTTTATAAGTAACATTTTAAAAAAAGGAAATGAAATGAAATTTCATCCATTCTTCAAGCTTCAGCATGTTGTAACATACCCCGCGAATCACAGAAGGACACCTCAAGAAGTCGAATTAAAGAGTCACATTTATTGCAATCCGGGACTATGAGGAGTCATTCCCAAATCTCATAGCAAGATGGTCCCAGCTCCAGGGTTATATAGGCAAAAATCACAAAGGTATTGATTACATCCCAGGGTTTGGAATGAGGAACCTGGTTCGCAAAAAAGCAGTTTACAGAAGCAGAATTAAGCATGTTAATTATAGTTTTGGGTCTCGGGGTCACTGAATTGACAGAAACACCTTATCTAGAGCCCTCTGGTCTTGAGACCACTGAGTTGCCAGGAACTCATTATCTAGAGCCATCGAGGTAATTTAGAGTAATTGCGCTGTCCTGGTCTTAGGACCACTGAGTCAACTGGAATGCATTATCTGTGGCCACTAAAACAATTTAGGATAATTGTGCTGTCCTGTTTCCCAGGTACAGAAGAATGTGCTCCGATAACCAGTAAGATAACAATCAATGGATGGTCATTCAATCAAATGGGATGATTTATACAATTCAGAAAATCAAAATAACTTTTCTATTGTTAAGCCAAACAACAGGGTTAGAGTTAAACTACAGTTTCTACCTGAGATGATTGCTACCATACTTCAAGCACAAATGCCCACACCCCCTTTAGGAATCGTTCCCAGACTTCTCGGTGAAACTGACTTCCCCTCTGAGTTTCTGTTTCTCTAATGGCACTTCTCACATTCTATGGTTCCCTGTTTTGAACCCTTTCACAGAAGGAGACTTTCCTAATTTATTGTTATATTCAGAAACTAGCACATGATATAGACATGCAGCAGGTGTTTCTTATGTGCATAGAATAAGAACCCTTTCTTTTTCTTTAATTTCCCACAATAAAATACCTCGAACTTAGTAACTAAATGTATGTGAAAACATGAAAACTTGGACATTTCCAATAATTAACTGGAAGATTAGGGCAGGGTAGGAAGGGGCTCTATGAATTAAAATGTATACTATAGACAGGTGGGGCAAGAGTAGGTTTACAATTGTTCGGATGGAAAATAATGCAGTAATTAATAAATAATAATACAAGAATAAACTGTGTTTCATTTACTCACACATATAAACTTGCTTTTGTCCCATCCTGTATATTGTAAGGCAGGTGTGTTAGTTATTATTCCTTAAATTGAAATGTCCTTATTTGGGTTTTTTTGTTTATCTATAATACTTACGTTTTCTATATTTTCTTTTACCTATTGATTGATTTTTAGAGACAGGAAGAAAAGGGTGAAACATTGATTTATTGTTCCACTTATTTATGTGTTCATTGGTGGATTCTTGTATGTGCCTTTAATAGGGATCAAACCCACAATGTTGGCATATCAGGATGACACTCTAACCAACTGAGCTACCTGGCCAGGGCTATATTTTCTTAAAGAGAGTTGCTCTTGTTTGCACTATAATTGAAATCAAGCCTCAAGCAATGACATTGATTCTCAGATATACTTATATATACTTATTCACTTCCCATTTGACGGTACATCAGTGACAATATCCGTAAGTGCGGGACTGCATGGACTGACACTCTATTTAACAACACTGGCCAGGGCTCCCCGTTATATTTTTATTTCATTTGTGGAGTACTTCAGTTTTTAATTAGATCTTACCTGTTTGAATATTGCTTTTCAACTTTGGGAATTCCAAACTTTGTTCATGTGTTTTTCAGGATCAGAATAAAAACCATACTATTTTATTTTGATCTCTTTTAAAAGCTTATTTTGAATATGACAGCATGTTGTATTCCTCAATCTTGCCCAAATTTAAATCTGTGATAAAAATTATTCTTGAAAATTGGTTATAAGCAATGTATTGTAATAAACGTATTCTATATAATGATCTAATTTGAAGTTTCTGATTATTACCAGGTTATGATTAAAGAGAGATGTTTTAGAGTTTAATATTAGTTTAAAAATGCTCGTAGAGTACAATTTTAATAATGTGATCATCTCATTTTTTTCTCCTTCTAAATCAGTGATTCTAAAATCTTAGGAACCAGTCATCACCCCTCCCTTTTGCATTTAAATAATATCTCAACTATATACAAAATAAATGTTGAACCATATTTTCACTTCCATAAAAATGAAAAAAATGTTTTTTAGGAATTGAGTTTAAAAATATATATAATTTCTGCCTGCTTTAGAAAAGAAGAATTTCTTGCTTTCATTCAGTGATTGTTTCCCACTTTTAGGCCTCAGCTTCCTTTCACAATCCATTGAAAACTATAAATCCTCTGTTATGAAAAATACATAAACATACAGAATTTTGCATATATTAATATTCTTTTAATCTAGACTTTACATTATACTAGTAGCTTAAAAACATGTTTTGAGTGTTCATAATCCTTTTTTTAGAGGACACTCAGAAGGTTAACGTTAACATAAGAGAAAAGGATACCTGTACTACCTCACGTATGTGTGCTGAACCCCACCGCCAGCCAAGTCCTTCGCTGCCTACCTACTACTCTCTCATTCCTGTGTCAACTTAGAAGCTTCCTAAATTTGACTTTTGCTTGGGGACAGGTTTCAGTGACACTTCTCCAGATGAAGGGTTAATAGAGGACTTGACTGTGGAAGACAAAGCTGTGGAGCAGCTGGCGGAAGGATTGCTTTCCCACTACCTGCCAGACCTGCAGAGATCTAAACAAGCCCTGCAGGAACTCACGTGAGCTAACAAAAGCCAGAGGCCCACTCATTTCCCCTCTGGTGGAGTCATTTACTGTATGAAGGTGTATTATTTTGTAACATGTTATTCAATTGGGCATTTCTGTATCTTTAGTGATAACAGATGGGAGTAGAGGAGTTCATAGTAATCTAAATATCAAAAGTGAAATGAATACTTCTAGGGCAGTGATGGCGAACCTATGACACACGCACGCGAACTCATTATTTTGGTTGATTTTTCTTTGTTAAATGGCATTTAAATATATAAAATAAATATCAAAAATATAAGTCTTTGTTTTACTATGGTTGCAAATATCAAAAAATTTCTATATGTGACAGGGCACCAGAGTTAAGTTAGGGTTTTCCAAAATGCTGACACGCTGAGCTCAAAAGGTTCGCCATCACTGTTCTAGGGTGCTTGGCTCCTAAGAAGTACCCCTAAATTTTATCTAGACTTTGATTAGCTTTTGGTGTTTTACCAGTATTTTATGAAAGCCTTGCCTATTGGGAATGTTGCAGGATGGGCATATACCTGTTTCTGAGTAGAATTACAAAATTGCTTCCATAAGAGTCACATTTGCATTCAATTGCTGGCTCACGAGTTGCCAGAAATCCTTAGATATCTTTTAAAAAGAATATATATTTAATTGATTTCAGAGAGGATGGGAGAGGGAGAGAGAGAGAGCTAGAAACATCAATGATGAGAATCATTGATTGTCTGCCTCCTGCATGCCCCCTACTTGGGAATGGAGCCTGCAACCTGGTCATGTGCCCTTGACTGAATTAAACCTGGGACCCTTCAGTCTGCAGGCTGATGCTCTGTCCACTGAGCCAAAGCAGCTAGGGCCTAAAGTATCTTTTTTAAGTTTTTTATATTCTTTTTATTTACTTAAAAAATATTTATTGTTGAAAGTATTACAGATGTCCCCATTGTTCCCCTTCACCTGGTTCCTGCCCCACCCCAGGCCTTCACCACCCTATTGTCTGTATTCTTAGGTATGAATTGTTTTTATATACATCCTTTTTTTCCCCATTGATCCCCTCCACCCCAGGCTTTCACCACACTATTGTCTGTGTCCCTGGGTTATACTTGTATGTATATAAGTTCTTTGGTTAATCTCTTCCCACCCCTACACCCCTTCCCTCTGAGATTTATCAGTCTGTTCCATGTTTCCATGCCTATGGTTCTGTTTTATTCATCAGTTTATTTTGTTCATTAGCTTCCTTGTTCATTTATTTTGATTTTTAGATTAAATTATTGATAGATATGTATTTATTGCCATTTTGTTGTTCATATTTCTTTTCTAATTCTTCCTTTTCCTCCTCTTCCTTCTCTTTCCCCTCTTCCTCCTCCTCCTCCTCCTCCTCCTCCTCCTCCTCCTCTTCCTCTTCCTCTTCCTCCTCTTCTTCCCCCTTCCTCATCTTCCTTCTCTTTTCTTCCTCCTCCTCCTCCTCTTCATCTTTTTCTTCTTGCTGGGATTTAAATTGGGATTGCATTGAATCTATAGATCAAGTTGGGAGGAATTGATACTTAATATTGAGACTTTTAAAAACAATTTGATTTGAGAGAGAAACAAACATTGATTTGTTGTTCCACTTATTTATGCATTCATTGGTTGGTGCTTGTGTGTGCCCTAACCGGGGATTGATCCTGCAGTCTTGGAGCATCGGGACAGTGCTCGAACCGAGCTACCTGGTCAGGGCCTTAATATTGAGGCTTTTATTCCATGTACTTGGAATATTTCTCCATTGTTTATATCTTTTTGAAAATTTCTTAATTATGTTAGTAATTTGTATATTTCTTTCTCATCTGTGTATCTTTTATTTTCCTTCCTTTTTGTATTGCCTTAGCTAGGACTTCCAGTGTCACATAGACTAGTAGTGAGAATGGACACTTTTCTTCGCTCCTGATCTTAGAGGGAAGACACCTAGTTTCTCACCACAAGTGTGATGTTGGTTATAGGTTTTTTAGACATTCTTTAACAAGTTGAGGCAGTTCCTCTCCCTAGTTTGTTGAGGGTGTTTTTAATCATGTATGGTGTTGGACTTAAATACTTTTTCTGCATCAACTGATAGGACCATATGATTTTTTTCTTTAGCTTTCTTCTTTTCAAATATTGAACCAGCTTTGCATACTTAGAATAAATTGTACTTGGTTGTGGTGTATAATACTTTTAAAAAAATATATTTTTATTGATTTAGAGAGAGAGGAAGGTAGAGAGAGAAAGAAACATCAATGTGAGAGAGAATCATTGATTGGTTGCCTCCCATATACACCCTGACCAGGGATCAAACCCCCAACCTGGATATGTGCCCTGACCTGAAATTGAAGTAAAACTGGACAACCAATGAGTCTGGGCTGCCTGTCACTACTGTAGCCAATTCAGCAGAGACAGGGTTGAATCACATATGAGCCTTTATTCTAATACTGCCGGCAGTATGGGAGAGCAGCAGGTCAGCCACAAAAATCTGATCTCCAATCCCCCCTAAACCAGCTGCTTATATTGGGTTTGACAAATGTGACATGGGGAAGTAGGGATTACAGGGCTGGGGAAGTAGGCAATGCGGGCTGGGGTGGGGCTCCATTTGGCTGACAAGATTGTTAATCTTTCCATATTAAATAGTTCTTGAATGAGAATGGACATTCCAAGGTTGACTCTCAGGTCCCAGGCATGTACAACTCCTAGCCAGGTAAGGATGTCCTTTTAATAAGAACAAGGCAATCATGGTTAAACAGAGCATGTTTAATATTTCTTATAACTATAGCTGGCCCCCAATATTCTATTTTTGCCCCTAACAGAACTAGCAACCCTTTGCTGCACGGGATAGTTGCTCAACCAACTGAGCCATACTGGCCAGGACTGGTGTATAATTCTTTTTATACATTGTCAAATTTTATTGCCAATATCTTATTGAGAATTTTTGCATCTATGCTGATGAAATACATTGGTCTGTAGATGACATCTGCAGAACACTTAATCCCAAAGCCACGGAATATAAATTCTTCTCAAGGACTCATGGTACATATTCAAAAATAGACCACATATTGGGTCACAAACAAAGTCTCCCCATATTCAAAAGTTTGAAATCACACAGAGCATCATCTCAGACGACAATGGCATAATATTAGAAATAAACTACAATAAAAACAACCAAAATACTCAAACACTTGGAAGCTGAATAGCATGTTATTAAATATTGTTTGGGTTACCAATGAGATCAAAGAAGAAATTAAAAACATCCTGGAAACTAATGACAATGAAAACACAACAATCCAAAACCTATGGGACACAATGAAAGCAGTCCTGAGAGGGACATTCATAGCACTACAGGCCTACCTCAAAAAAAAAACAAAAAACCCACAAGAAAAACTGGTAATAAGTTATCTAACTCTACAAATTAAAGAATTAGAAAGAGAAAAACAAGAAAATCCAGAACAAGTAGAAGGAAGGAAATAATAAAGGTCAGAGAAGAAATAAATGACATAGAGACACCCCCCCACCCAAAAAATACAAAACTGACCAGCCAGTGGAGACCATGACCCGGAAAGAACACACCTGGTAGACTGAGGAGTATTTATTGAGATCCTCCCCTGAGAGCTGCACCAAGATTCCTGACTTTAGAAAACAGATGAAAACCTGTAAGACAAATGATCCAAAGCTGGCTGTCTCTCTTGATTGCACACCTTTCCTTCCCCCTTTTTTCGCCTCAAGACACATACCTTTGCTTTCTATCTCCTTAGGTCCAAGGGCCCTTTTTGCTTCTGTAACTTGTTTCCAGAGTTCATGCAGCCCAGCTGGCTCCCTCTCCCACATCTCACTTCTACCTCTCTGACTTTCTAAATCAGTGGTTCTCAACCTTGGCTGCACATTAGAATCAACTGGGAATCTTTTTAAAATCCTGCTTTCTGGACCTC